CAATACTGTAGTGGTTGGGGAAAGTCTTGGTGGGAAAAGATGAATGCATGTATGAAGCTGACGTTCCGCATTTCTCTGATTTAAAAAAAATACAAAAAACAAAAACCCAACAACCATAAAACAAAGTATTAATAAAAAAAAAAAAAAGGACAGTCTCGAAGGAAGACACGCGCTAGTCGAGTAGCAGGGCCTTCGACGGCAGAACGCGATCGGGAGCACTCACGAAGTTTGGCGAGCACCGGGATGAGCGGTTTCCACAGGCGCAGGTAGTCGGCCCGCAGGCCGTCCAGAGACACCAGAAGCAGCGGCTGGCGCGAGAAGCTGGCGCACCAGAACAAGGCCCAATCATAGCGCCCGCCGAGGCACGAGTACGCGAGCGTGTGAGTGTGCGCTACCCTGGTGGACAGGAGGGGCGTGACAGGTCCTCGCACTCGTCCTCCACCCACTGGCTTTGTCCTGCCGGCGCACACGAGTCTCGCGGTCAAGCTTTGCCGCGCGGCGCCACATTTTGCCGCCTCTCACCTTGGCACACGTGCCGGTAGTTACTGCAGCAGTCAAAATTCGCAGAACAGTCGTCGGAGCAGTGGCACCTGCTGTTGGACAGCCTGGTCTCGCCGCAGCGCAGATGCGTGCATTCCCACAGTTCCGCTGCACGCACACACGCACGCAGGGATTGGCCAGCCGCTCGGCCGGGGCGACCGCTCGCGCCGAGGTCCGACGTTCTCTTACCGGGGGCTTTGCAGAGGTCGTGGTAGTCGGGGCAGCAGGTTCCGCTGTCCTGGCAGGCGGCGTCACATCTGCACCCGGGGGTGTCGCCGTCGTACGGCTCGTAGCAGCGATTCCTGCACGACGTCCGCGGTTCCACTTTGGGGCGACAAAGCAAAAGCCGAGTTGGGGCGTTTGCCCACCGTGAAAGGTCCACGAGTGCGTCGCCGCGCCACGATGCCCACGTGGGGAAATGCCGACGCGGCAACCCAACCGGGAAGTCAACGCGGAGGCGGGCGGTCCGCGGTGCAGAATGCGGGGAGGGCCGGTCCCGGAAAGCATCCCCTGCACCTCGCACGTGGCCTTTTCCGCTTCGCCGTCAGGCTTTCCGAGAGAGCCGGCCAATATTGGCTCACGGTCGGTTCGGAAAGTGGCGCGTAACGCTTTTATACCGCGGCAATCATGTCATTAAGGACGCTCAAGTGCTGATTTGTACTCGATGACTGGACCTCATAAAGATCCCGAGCGAGCGATAGGGAGTCAGGAATGAGTGAATGATTGCAAAGGCCGGCAATCATTGGGCAATTATTCATTCCCTCCCGACGGCCTGGAAGTTGCTGAGCGGTAAAACCTCTTCAAACACTTGAAGAACTTTTTTGGTGTGGATTCGGTCATCTCCTTGATGACGCAACAACCACGGCGGCAGCGTGAAAGTCGCTCTGCGTGTAGGCGTGCGTGTGCGCGCGCGACTCGGAGTCCACCTCGATCTCGGCAACTCCGCAGTTCCAGACCCAGTCCCAGTCCGAGGCCCAGGATCAGCGTCACCAGGGATACGGACAAGACGCACACCTGAGGAAAACGACAAGTTCACAACCCAAAAGGTGCTTTGGGGGCGCGGGACGATTCGGCGGCAAAGACGACGATACGGGGCGCGAGCGCTCTTCGCCATCTCAATTCAGGGAGGACGCCGGCCACCCGCCCGAGAAATGTCACCATCGCCCACGGCAAATGGTGGCGGCGCTCCGGCGGGCCCGCCCCCGCGTCTGGGGGGGAAAACTTGGCCAGCTGCCGCTTTCACAATTTGGGGTCTTTGCCGATCGCGTCGTGCAAAGGTCAAATGTCGAATTGATGGAAGGAAACTGCCTTGAGCTGAGGGCACTCAATGTCGTCCGGTCAAGGTCGACCCAAAAATCCCACCGCGGCGGGCAAACGACATGGCCAAAAAGTCAGCGTTTCTATTGGGAATTCCCGAAAGACATTGGAGAGCGTACGCCGGCGCGGGCCGCCTTTTTACCGCCGGTGGTGGAAATGCGGCTCAGTGTGGCCTGATGCCGCCGCGACCTATCCATCCGGGGGGGGCTCCTCCCATTATACTTGATTGACGGTCAGGACGGGGCCGGCCGAGACGGCGTTCGAATCTGCTGCCGCCTTCTTTCCCGGGAAGAAGTCGAGACTTTTTCTTTTTTGTTTTGTCTTTTGCATTGATAAGACGTTTCGGACGTTGGAGAAACACTGTGTGGGGTGCGCTTGAGGTGCAGGAGTGTGGTTTTGCGGGGTTATTTTTGCATGCGGCCAGGTCGCCCCTGGAAAAGACGTGTTTTGATTTTTGAGCAGGACGGGAAAGAAAAGCACAAGACAAAAGAGGGCGCAACCAAAACAAAAAGAGGGAAAAGCAAAGGGAAAAGGGGAAAAAAGCAAAAGGAAGCCACAGCTTTGAGTCGTCCGTCTGCAGGCGTAGCTTCCGGCCACGAGAAAACTTTTTGCAGCGGGCGGAGAAACGCCCTGGGCTGCACCCAAGGGAGGCCGAAACTCTCCGGGCCAAAAGAGCCGAGCGACGCCATACTTACGCCGCCGGGTTGTCGCTCGGGTCGCGGACGGGAACCCTCCCGGACAGCGCGGCGCCGCCACCAAACGAAAAGCCTGCCGAGGCCAGCTGAAGCTCATTTGTTGCTAACGAGAGGCCGGCGCCGCGCCGACTCCCGGTCGAGACCGGCTCGAATGCGATTGGCCACGGAGGAGATGGGGGCAAGTCGACTCAAGAGGCTCACCGCATTCGCTCCGTTACATTCCCGCAAGTGACTTTTCAGTCGGGATTCCCTTCCGATCGACACACCGTTGAGCCTCCGCCGCCCGAGCCGCGGCGGGTTGTTACCCACGCGTGAAGGTAAAGCCGGCTACTCACCAGCAAGATCAGCCTCCTCTTGGTCGGCGCTGCCTTCATGACGCACGCGAGTCGGCCGGGGAAAATGACGGCGATGATGTCGAGGCGGCGAGCGAGGATGGCTGGCGGCGACCTCCGGACCCCGCGGGCGCGACCGCAGTCACTGATTAAGCGGGAGACGCAGATAAGCCGAGGCTCGACGTTTCAGTGTCGCGTGATCTTCACACACAAAGCCGCCGCCAACCATCATCGAGTGTAATCAGGCGTCAGAGAATTGAAACGAGATACGCAAGGAGAGAGAGAGAAAGAGAGTCGGTTTGCCATTCGCAAGTGCGGTGCGAAGGCCTTGGCCAGACGACATGACTATAGCGAGAGATGAACGCTGAAATGGGATTGGACCCCCACCAAAATCATTCCCGCGTCGGCGCAGCCCTCCGGTTGCCGAGCAGCCGAGACACACCTTCGGAAATGGACGCGCGATTTTGCCAAATGTACTCAAGTTCGACGGGGGCTTGAGATTGGCAACGCAAGATGGCCACCGGTGGCTTCTCTCCTCGCAACGGCGAGTAAGCGCCGTTGTTAGTCCGTTCAAATCGAAGAGACGACGATTTGGTAACATTGGGTCAACGAGACTTTATTCACCAATGCCGTCTTCGGAAAAGCGCCCGGTCTGCTCAGTTAGCCGAATGAGGCGGTTTTCGAAAGAAAGAAAGGAGGAAGCAAAAGGACTGCCAAGCGTTCATTCCGAGCGCCATTCCCAAGCGTTCGCCGGTTGGGGCTCCTTCCGATCGAGGCGTCGGGTCTCCGATCGACGGCGCTCGGAGCTTCGGCGGTCGCGTCGTCGTCGTTTGGGGAGACGTCCG